TCCCAGGGCCCAAGCCCCAACTAGAGCCTGACTCACAGGAGCCAATCTCCCCCTCCCTGTAACCTAGACCTTTTGCTTTTGGAAAAGGAATATCCAATGGCTTTGGGGGCAGCAGCCCAGTCTCCCCACTGTCTGGTTAACGATTTAATGTCATTTGCTCAGGGCACCTTTGTGGCAGTTAGATAAGCATCTAACTCGATTTCGGCTCAGGTCATGATCTCAGGCTCATGAGATGGAGCCTTGTGTTGGGCTGTGCGCTCATCAGGGATTCCGCTTAGGTTCTCTCTCTGTCTCTCTCTCTCCCTCTGCCCCTCCCAGTCGTGCTCTTTCTCTCAAATAAATAAGTAAATCTTAAAAAAAAAAAAAAAAAAAGTCAGTCGCTCAACCAACTGAGCCACCCAGGCACCCTGAATTTTACATTTTAATGGATCCATCTGCAAACCTCCATCTTGCATGCTTCCTCCAGTCAAAAATTCCAGGGAAAGAAAAGGTTTTCAGGTATAGTCTTATATTTGTTTGGGCTGATACAGCATTGTGCTCCATCAGGAACCCACTCTGGAAAACATATGGAGGTTCCTCAGAAAGTTAAAAATAGAGCTACCCTAAGATTCAGCAATTGCACTACTAGGTATTTACCCAAAGAATATAAAAATACCAATCCAAAGGGATACGTGCACCCTGATGTTTATTTTAGCATTATCTACAATAGCCAAATTATGGAAACCACCCAGATGTCCATGGACAGATGAATGGATAAAGAAGATTGGTATCTAGATACAATGTAATATTACTCAGCCATTAAAAAGAATGAAATCTCGGGGCACCTGGGTGGCTCAGTCATTAAGTGTCTGCCTTCGGTTCAGGTCATGATCCCAGGGTCCTGGGATCGAGCCCCGCATCGGGCTCCCTGCTCGGCGGAGAGCCTGCTTCTCCCTCTCCCACTCCCCCTGCTTGTGTTCCCTCTCTCACTGTCTCTCTGTCAAATAAATAAAATCTTAAAAAAAAAAAAGAATGAAATCTTGTCATTTGCAATGACATGGATGGAGCTAGAGAGTATTAAGCTCAGTGAATTAAGCCAGTCAGAGAAAGACAAATACCATATGATTTCACTCATATGTGCAACTTAAGAAACAAAACAAATGAGCAAGGGACAAAAAAAGAGAGGCAATCCAAGAACCAGACTCTTAACCATAGAGAACAAACTGATGATTGGGGATTAAGAAGCGCACTTGTGATGAGCACCAGGCATTGTATGGAAGTACTGAATCACTATATTGTACACCTGAAATTAATAACTAATATTACACTGTATGTTAACTAACTGGAATTTATTATTTTTTTGAAGTTTAGATTTAGTTTTATCTAGGTCAAAGTGTCATGTTTAGTAAAGATGTTTATTGGCTTCCAATGTATTTTTAAGTTATGGCTTTTTTATTATTTAAATTTTAGGTAGTTAACATACAGTGCATTATTGGTTTCTGGAGTAGAATTCAGTGATTCAGGAGGATGGGGGACAAGGGTCAGAGGGAGAAGGAGAGAGAGAATCTTAAGCAGGCTCCACACTCTGCGCAGAGCCCGACATGGGGTTCGGTCTCATGACCCTGAGATCATGACCTGAGCAGAAATCAAGAGTTGGACACTCAACTGACTGAGACACTCAGGCACTCCTAACTAACTGGAATTTAAATAAAAATTTAAACAACCAACCAAACAAAAGAAAACCTTTGCCTGAGTTAGCATTTTCCAATCATTTCTTGGAATACCAACAGATATTTTTGAAAAGCGAGAAGGTAGAAGCCAAACACTAGGGATACCTGTGTGGCTCATTTGGTTAAGCATCGGCCTTCAGCTCAGGTCATCATCCAAGGGTCCTGGGATCAAGCCCCACGTCAGGCTCCCTGCTCAGCGGGGAGTCTGCTTCTCCCTCTCCCTCTGCTTCTCTCTTGCTCTCTCTGTCCAATAAATAAAATCTTTAAAAAATAAAAATAATAAAATCTTTAAAAACAAAAAAATAACTAAAATAACAAATTTCTGTTCTTCATCACTTGGACAAAGTGCAGCCCCAAGGTCCATGTGCTGGTCCCTTCTACCAAGTCACAAAGTTCTGGATGTCTTGGTGGCCCTGCGCCACGCTGCCTGGGCTCTGGCTCAGATGTTGCTTCCTGGTCACAATCATTAAGCCACTCCATGTGCCTTTCAACACACCATTTACCTCATTTGCAAAGTATCTTCCATTTCAGACTAGAGACTAGAAAGGGCCCCAAAGATGCAGATGTGGGGTGCCTGGGTGGCTCACTGTTTAAGCATCTGACTCTTGGTTTCAGTTCAGGTCATGATCTCAGGGCTGTGAGATTGAGCCTTGCATAGGGCTCCGTGCTCAGTGGGAAGTCTGCTTCTCTCTCTCTCTCTCTCTCCCTCTGCCCCTCCCCTGGCTCACGTGCTCTCTCTCTAAAGTAAATAAAATCTTAAAAAAAAAAAGATACAGAATATACCTAGCAGACATCTGGCCATACCCACAGCACCTGTGCTGGCCAGAGGCCTCTACTAGGCAAATTTGGTGGTGCAACCCCGGTAGACCATGATGAATTTGAATTGTCCATCAGCCTGAGACTGCATGTCAGTAAGGTCCACCTGGCACCAGCTCCTCGTCTCCACAAACATCAGTCTTCAACAACATACCTTTCTCCACAGGATGCAACTTAACACTGGCAGGGTTTGCATAGCTTCAAGCACAGGAGTATGGCTTCCTGCACCACATTCTCGTTCTCTCTTCAGCTCTGCCAGCATCCTAGGCTTCCCTCCGTGCCCAATGCTGACATGGGCTCATGCAGCACATCCTAAATGTGATTTTTTTTTTAAGATTTATTTATCTGACAGAGAGAGACACAGCAAGAGAGGGAACACAAGCAGGGGGAGTGGGAGAGCAAGCAGCAGGCTTCCCGTGGAGCAGGGAGCCTGATGCGGGGCTCAATCCCAGGACCCTGGGACCATGACCTGAGCCGAAGGCAGACACTCAACGACTGAGCCACCCAGGCGCCCCTACATGTGATCATTTTTGACATGGTAGCAAAAGCTCGAGTTGCCTTCTGACAGGCGGACAACCTTCTTCCCCATTCCCAAGGCAAATGACAAATCACTTCAGTTGGCAGAGAAAGAGGGTAGATTCCTCTTTTCTGGTTTGGTAAGTTTCACTTGTTCGACTATCTCACTGTACTTATCACTGGAAATACATGGAATTGTCTTCTCTCTTTCTAGACAGTAAAAGGTTAAAACAGTGATAAAACTGTTGTTTGGCATCACACCCAAGATCCTCCCTGGATGCAGCTGGGAACTGTGACAAAGGTGAAGAGCTGTACTGGCTGGAAACTAGTGCAGGTCCAGTTTTTGCCCAGGTCTCCCTGCCAGGGCAGCTGGGCACTCACTGACCAGCGGGCTTGGACTCCTAAATGGAGATGGGCCACATGCCCCATGGCCAACTAATAGCAAGTGACTCTTCCCTTATCTGATTAATGCCCCCAAGGGTGTTTAAAGTCAGTCTCTTATCTGACTCTGTTCTACATTAAGTGGTGCAGGCACCCAAATGGGAGAAGCTGACCAGCAACCCTGGGATCCCAAGATACACCCACGGTGGGTGTATGCACCCAGGAGAACTCAGAGCTGGCCCCAGCACTAGGGCAGAAGAGTTGCCTGCTCGGGTGCAACAGGCCCAGCCAGCAGGTAGTACTCATTTCCTGCGTGTAATTTGAGGTCAAGTCTGGGCATACCTCAGCCAGGTGTGTGCAGGTGTGTACAGAAGGGAGATGGGAGATGTGTGGGCATCTTGGCCCCATAGCAAAACCTTCAGGTCAAATTTAAACAATAACCAATCCCCTAAGCTAGCCCTCCCTCTCCCCCACTCCTATGGAAAGAGGATAGGCTCAGGTGAAGGCTTTCTGCAGCAGGAATCCATGGCTGGAAACAGACCACTCACCTGAAGGCCTATGTGTCCGGCAATAAGGCCAACCTGCTCCCCAAAATCCACATCCTTACCCAAACAGGTCACATCCCCGAAGGCTGCCTTCTGCAGGGCACTGGGTGGCCCCCAGCCTTCCCTCGTGGGATCCAGGGCCTTTCTCCAAATGTCACCCCTGTCTGGGATAAGCCGTGTCCACAGGGAGAAGTCAAAGGGGCATGGCAGAAGTCAAATGGAAACCAGTAAACAGAGGGGGCGCAAGGCAGAGAGAGCAGGGGAGGAGACGAGAAGAAAGGAAGAATTAGCATCCAGTTTTGGCCAAGAGAGACCTGCAGCCATGAGGATGCCCCTTGTTAGGGGCTGGGAGGCCTGGTGAGTATGCTGCCTCCCAAGCTCACCCACCATGGGTCGAAGTCTCTCCTCTCTCTCCCTAGCCAGTCAGCAGGGACACAACATCATTCCAGAGAACAGAACAGAGTGACAATTAGCACCCAAGGCCTAAACCTACTCTCCGTATCACTGGGTCTCTTTGGAGGCTCATCTGGGGTCAGCCTTTTCTGTCTGCAGGGCCTAAAGCCCAGCTGGGAGATGAGATGACCAGAAACCAAGCAAAACCCCTCTCCTGACTGAATGTCCACACAGCTCCAAGAGTCCCACACTAAACAAAGGGACAGCTCACAGGCACAGGAACACTGCTGGGCATGCTGCACAGTGAGCCGGGCTTTGTCAAGGGCCTCCATTAAGAAACTTGGTACGCTGGGCGCCTGGGTGGCTCAGATGGTTAAGCGTCTGCCTTCGGCTCAGGTCATGGTCCCAGGGTCCTGGGATTAAGCCCCGCATCGGGCTCCCTGCTCAGCGGGGAGCCTGCTTCTCCCTCTGCTTCTCTCTCTCTCTCTCTCTGTCTCTCATGAATAAATAAATAAAATCTTTAAAAAAAAAAAAAAAGAAAGAAACTTGGTACACTTTCCTCCAAAGGGCCCAGGACACACACACACACACACACACAACACACACAAATCACACTTGAGAATTCATCAAGGCTTTTAAAACCATGTATTTGAGAAGTTCACTTGGGATAATAAATTATTTGCTGATAAAAATCATTTGGGGAATTAATATAATGAAATGGAAAAATTCAGGCCATTGCAACTTCAACATGAACAAAGGGAGTCATGAGGAAGCCCTCTCCCCGACGGAGTCCTGTGTGCCTGGAGCTCCCAAGCCCCCGCCACCAGCACCACCACCACTACTTGGAGCCTCTCTTCTCCTTGAAAACCTCCCGATAGCAGGTGACTATGTTGTTTATGCCCCGGCAGACTCAGAGGCTGCGCTCCAGGTTGGGGTCATTGTCACTGAAGATCTGCAGACCAGCATCACAGTATGCTAAAGCCATGGCCCAGTGTCTGGAGGTGAGCTGGGCAAGCCGTCCTCTCCCTCCTCTCCAGCTGCATGCCCCTGCTCCAGTCCCATCAGCTCCTCAATGGAGAGGCCCGCCCGGGGCTCTGCAGAAGCTCCACCACATCTGCCTCGGTCACCTCTCTAAAACCCACACCACGGGCCAATGCCAGGATGTCCTGCAGGATCTGCGGTAGAGTTGCTACGTGCAGCCTGTTGGCATCCTGCTGGATGCCCTCGAGCCACAGCTTCCTCCACCCCCCATTTAGGGTAGCTGGCGGGACCTCCTCCCAGGACTCAGAGATGTTGTAGGCGGTGTCAAGAATGCTGTAGTCTCGCCAGAAGTCAAGGACCACCAACCGCTGGTCCCTGTCTCCCACCCTCAACGCCAACAGGCGGAAGACCGTCCGTGGGTAGCAGGCCTTGAATGTGGCAACAATGTCCTGGTTCATGGGCTGGACGAGGGCCATGGTTTTCTTGGGCAGGTACAGCACACGCACGTGGTCCGATAGGTCATCCAGGTTCCCAGGGTGGCCAGGGGCACTGTCCAGGATGAGCAGGGCTTTGTACGGGAGGCCGTACCGGGCACAGTCCCTCTCCACAGCTGGGCAGAAGTGCACAGACCACTCCTGGAGGATGCTCATGGTCACCCAGGCTTTCTTGTGTGAACGCCACACCATGGGCAGGTTGGGCCTGGAGCAGCCCTTGAGAGCACGCAGGTTCTCTGAGGGATACAGCAGCAGCAGCTTCAGCTTGAGGTCTCCAGCTGCACTGCCACCAAGCCGCAGGTCAGGAGATCTCGGGCAGCTCTGCACCCCAGGGCTGACTTCTCCTCCAGGGAAAGGAGCATCCTGGCAGGCAGTCGCTTCCAGAAACGTCCAGTCCCACCCATGTTGAACACCAGCCGGGGTGTGTAGCCGCCCTCCTGGATCACTCTCCACAGAAGGGCGGGGTACCAGCGCATGGCTGCCGCAGTTGTGCCCATAGCTCGACACCCACCCCAAGACCAGGCAGGCTATGTCGGGCCTTGAACCGCGTGAACCACCCTCAGCTAGCCCCGAAGGTCTCCGATTGGGCACCCTCACCCTGCTCCCGCTTGAGGTCCTCAAACAGGCTGCGAGCCTTCTCCTGGATGAGGAAGACACTGATGGGCACATTGCGCTGGTTCTGGTCCTCGATCCACACGCTTAGCAGCCGCTCCATGTTCTCCATCACCAGGCTGCGGCTGCGCATCAATCTGGTGGCCGCCTGGGAACTCGCTCGGATCTTCTCCTTGTTGTCACAAATGGTAGCCACAGTAGAGGTGGACAGCCCCAACACCTTCCCAATTCTGCTAAGCTTCTCTCCGGCTTCGAAGCACCACAACATCTCAAACTTCACCTGCAGGTTGATAGCCTTGTGGACCCCCCTCGGTGCTTTGGCACTGGCTTACACTGGGCGGCCTCTTCAGAGGGATCTTCTGGCCAGAAATGGAGGGGGAGGCTCTATCTGCATCCCTCTGTCCAGACACAGCTAAAGAATATGTGTTTTCCCGCCCTGTGCCTGCTGATTTCAATGCCGCTGCTGCCCTGGCCCTGACCTGCTGTAAAATGGGGAGAAAACCTTTATTGGTGGGAATGTAGACAGGCTTGGATAAACCTGTTAAAGACCGTCAATAAATCTCCCTCATTTGGCCACAGAGCTCACTTCCCACTGGATGAATTCTGGCCCCATGGACTAAATTAACTTCAGCCTCAGCAATGCGGCAAGCCTCTGAAATACACAACAAGCTGATGTCAGACCAAAGGCAGAAATCAGAAATTAACAGGTTGGGGAGGTGGTGTGCCTCAAAACATTGTGGCTGGGTACAGGAATTTATAACAACTGTTCATAAAACTGAACTCTGAGCTTTCAGGCCACCAAGGAGGAAAACAAGAAGCTGTCCAGTTACAAGAAACGCATTTTCATGGCTCTGAGCTTGCAGAGACCCTGAACAATGTAATTAAGGATATCAAAACTCACAGTTTTTGCTTTGTGTTGTTTTGTTTGTTTTGCTAGAGGTAAGAGCTGACCTTTGAACAACACGGAGTTAGGGGACCCCCCGCCAAGCAGCTGAAGATCCACTTATAACTTTTGACTATTAATAACTTACTGTTGACTGGAAGCTTTGCTGATAACATAAGCAGTCAATTAACACATACTTTGCATGTTATATGTATTATACACTGTATTTTTAAAATAAAGCTAAGAAAAAAAGAAAATGTTATTAAAAGCACAAAGAAAATACATTACAGGGGTGCCTGGGTGGCTCAGTCGTTAAGCATCTGCCTTCAGCTCAGGTCATGATCCCGGGGTCCTGGGATCGAGCCCCGCATCAGGCTCCCTGCTCAGTGGGGAGCCTGCTTCTCCCCTCTGCCCCTCAGCCCGCTTGTTCTCTCTCTCACTCTCTCTCAAATATATAAATAAAATCTTAAAAAAAAAAAGAAAAAAGAAAGAAAAGAAAATACATTACTGTATTATATTTATTAAAAAAAAAAAAATCAAGGGCACCTGGATGGCTCAGTCAGTTAAGTGTCTGCCTTCCGCTCAGGTCATGATCCCGGGATCCTGGGATGAAGCCCCACATCGGGCTCCCTGCTCAGTGAGGAGTCTGCTTCTCCCTCTCCCTCTGACCCTGCTTGTATGGTCTCTCTCTCTGTCACTCTCTCTCTCAAATAAATAAAATCTTTAAAAAAAAATCCACATACAAGTGGACTCATGCAGTTCAAGCCCATGCTATTTAAGGGTCAACTGTACATGGACATGGTAAAAAAAAAAAAAATGCAGACAGGCTACTGCAGAACCAGGCAAGGGTCCTAGAGGCAGCCAGGGAAACCCACTTCCCCTGTATCCTTCCACAACAATGGAAGACGATGCACCCTGTTTCTTTCGGGAACAGCATCTCTCAGAGCTCAACTTTGTACTATTGATTTGTGACTGGAGTTTCACCGTGAAGCATCCTGGCTACTCCCCAAGAGTTCCCAGCATGCCACTGACTCACAGAAAACATCTGCTGAGCCCAGCTTGGGTAGATCTGGACAGGCCAACTCTAAGAGTCCCCACATTTTGCAGTCTCTCAGGAAGCTCCAGGAATGACAGTCGGGAGCAGGGAGGGCCAAGATGAGGCCCACTCACCTGACAGGAGACCCTAGCCATGCTCCTTGCCTGATCTGCCCTCCTTCCCATGTATGCTCAGTCAATGTCTATAAGCAACTCCCTCGGGGCGCCTGGGTGGCTCAGTCGTTAAGCGTCTGCCTCCGGCTCGGGTCATGATCCCGGGGTCCTGGGATCGAGCCCCGCATCGGGCTCCCTGCTCTGCGGGAAGCCTGCTTCTCCCCCTCTCCCACTCCCCCTGCTTGTGTTCCCTCGCTCTCACTGTGTCTCTGTAAAAAAAATAAAATCTTTTTAAAAAATTAAATAAATAAGCAACTCCCTCTCTCCTCCTGGGGAAGCCCCTGGGTTACCCGCTGGGACCACAAACACTCAAGTACCCTGTGACACAGAGGCAAGCTTTGGCCCCTATCTCATGGGGGAGAGCCATCCCTGGGGAGGCTATATAATGCCCAAGGACCAAAAGCCCTCCCCACATCAAGGTAAGCCTGACCAAGGAATGGGAGGCCAACTGTTTGCCACAAAACACCTCGGTTCCCTTCCCTGCCCAAAAGAGACAGCCACACTAGGCTGCCATGAGGACTGAAGGTGAGACAACCCTCCACAGTGCCCAGCACCGCAGCCTGGGCTCCAGGGACATCTGTGTGCTGAAGGCTGGGCTGATCTAGAGGATCGGCAGGCCAGGAGGGCAGAGGAGAAGAGGGGCGACAGCTAGGACCGGGGTGTGTGTCCTGAGATGGGCAAGACAAATGACTCCTAAAGAGCCACTAAAAGGAAAGGGTTGAGCTGCTTGTGACACTGGAAGGGCCAATAAGAGATGAAGTGAAAGAGCAGGTGCAGAGCATAAGTGGGGCTTCCTTTGGAAGCATCTATATACCTACACACCTGCAGACATGTGTGTGCTGCATGCGCATATATAAAACGAGGGAGAGGGGACACACAGAGGCTAACAACGGCCGTCTCCAAAGAGGCAGACCAGCCGTGAGGCTTGGAATTTACATACTTCATAATACACATATATTACACTGTTAGATTTAAAATGTAACGGGAGGGTAACCTGCTACTGATCAGCATATTACTTTCTATCTCTGTGCAACAGAAACGACGACTAAATTAATAACAGAAAACCCACTTTGGAGAAGTGGTCCATAAGATGGGGAAGAGGAGCCTGCTGGCGTGGGGGCCTGAAAGAAGCAAAGCCAAGGTCAAAGCCAGCCCAGGGGGCACAGCCAAGGCACCCCAGACAGAGGAGAGGTACCCAGCCCCCATTACAGGCCAGTGTGGTCAGTCCTGCCCACAGTTGTGCCCTCTCGGCCTGCCAAATGCTGTTTTAAATTGTGAACTGGTGCAGTTTTGGGCTTTCCTGACAGCAATGTTTGGCCACACCCAAAAGAAGCCGAGACCAGGCAACCCCATCTGTGCCCCAGCCTCACCCCCGTGCCTCCGGATTTGGGCACTGGGGTCCCGAGACCTCAGGACAAGCACCTAGTCTACTATTCAGACAGTGCAAGCCTGGGGATACCCCACCCTCAAAACCAGGAGCCGAAGGAGGCTGCAGGGCAGGCTCCTGGGCCCCCAAACCTGAGGGTGAAGGGAGGTGAGAAGAGGCTGGGCACAGCTGCTGAAGTGACCCTCCAAGGAAAGGTGGTGAGAGCCTTCCTTTGGCTGCAGCCAGATAGTCAGTAAAGGGCTGACTCAGCAGGCCTGGGTTGTCCAAACCCTGCAGGTTCCAAAAGTTTGGCCCTTGACCTGCTCCTAAGAGGTAACCTCTAAGCCCTTGGAATATTCTGCCTGTTAAAGGTGTCTTTGTTTACCTAAGGACTTGTGCCAAACCAGATAGTTCATGCTAACAATGCGACTTACAGTGGTGACCCTGGGCCACACTGTACCAATCTGACCTCTGGGAGGAGTTGAGATTGAGTAACTAAAGTCAGGATGCTCCATGCTTATGTGACTGACCCTCAGTAGAAACCCTGCCCACGAGAGCTCAGGAAAGCATCCCTGACTGCCGCCCTGTCATGTATCACTGCTATGAGAATTAAGCAGTGTCCACATGACTACCCTGGGAAAGGACATGTGGAAGCTCATGGCCACTATCTCCCAGACTATGCACCTTTTTCCATTGCTGATTTTAATATGTATCTTTTCACTGTAATCAACTATAATCATGAGTATAACAGCCTTGTTGAATTCTGTGACTCCTTCCAGCAAATTGTTAAGACTAAGGGTGGTCTTAGGGACCACCACACACACCTTGACATTGACAGCCAAGGAAAAAGTTTGAGACATCTAGCTTCTGAACTTCCTGACAGAATCACAGCAATCATCTCCGAGGCCACTCAGAGAAAGCAAGGGCCAGACCCTCTACCCTCTCTCACGTGGGGCCACTGGAGGGACCAGCAACAGGACAAGATCAGGTAAGGGCATGGAGCAAAGGGAGGAGTGTTCATGTACATTTGAACAGTGGCAAACCTGAATTGTGTGTGATCTCAAGGATGAACGGACAGAACCAGACACACCCCACAAGAATCACGTGAGTACCAGGCCTGAGTCCGTTCGGTAACCTGTAGGCTGCTGTTCCAACATCCACAATGTTATTGCAAAATAGCCTTTTTTTAAAAGTTTATTTATGTTTTTAGTAATCTCTACAGCCAACATGGGGCTCAAACTCATGACCCCGAGATCAAAAGTCACATGCTCTTCCAACTGAGCCAGCCAGGTGCCCTGCACACTGTCTTTAGAGCGTGCATCACCTACGCATCTATTCAGTGGGAAGCTGAGAACTAGAACTAAAAGACAGACCTCAGAGGAGGAGGCAGACATTGGATGTTGGTCAAGAGACAGCCCGCCTCAAAACACTGGCAGCAAGCTTAGAAAAGGGCATGGTAGTACCACCAAACACCCCAGAAAGACTACAGACACATGCCTCCAAAGTGCCTCACCTGCACCTCACGTTCACGCCTAGGCGAAAACACTCATCATCAGGGTCTTCCTTAGCAGGAACCGAATCCAGTTCATGTGCACAACCAGATTCACCATATCCCCCTCAGAAGCCCCAGCACCATCCAGCAGTGGCCTCTCCTCAGGGGTCTGGGTCGCACGCCCTCCTCAGTTTCTAATTGTCTTAATTCCAATCTCTTCCCTTTGTTCCCACAGCTCTAGGAGTAGATACTATTCCCTGCAGTCCTTACTGCCATGACACCTTACAATTCTTTCTATACTCTTCTCCTCCTTCAATAACTGGTTAAATGATTTACATTAAAATTCCCTCTGTTAGGGGCGCCTGAGTGGCTCAGTCGTTAAGCGTCTGCCTTCAGCTCAGGTCATGGTCCCAGGGTCCTGGGATCGAGCCCCGCATCGGGCTCCCTGCTCCGCGGGAAGCCTGCTTCTCCCTCTCCCACTCCTCCTGCTTGTGTTCCCTCTCTCGCTGTCTCTCTCTCTCTGTCAAATAAATAAATAAATAAAATCTTTAAAAAAAAAAATTCCCTCCGTTAAAACAAGTGCTGTGTCACCATTCCTGTAAAGGTCAAACAGCCTCACCACATGACCCAGCAATTCCACTCCTAGGTAAATAAACTAAAATCTTTGTGTCTCTATGGGTTTGCTTATTCTGGACATTTCATTAAAGAGAATCATGCAGCATGTGGCTTTTTATGACTCGCTTCTTTCACAAGTGTCATGTTTTCAGTGTTCACCTATGCTGTGGTATGTAATTATCTCTTTTTTATGGCTGCCAGGGCATTAGGAGGAGAAGAATGGAAAGTGACTCCGAATGGGCATAGAGTTTCTTTGGAGATGTTTAAGTTATGGTATCAGGCAACGGTGATGGTTGTACAATCCTGTAAATATACTAAACCCAGGGACTGTACACTTTTTTGGTATGTAAACTATAACTTAGCAAAGCTGGTTTTGTTTTTAATTGCTATGGTTTCTACCTCTTGGTACAGAGAACCAAGCAAACAAAAGGCACCGCATAGGTATGTGTGAGCAAACGTGTCAACAACTGCCAGGATGAATGACGGCACCCTACCCAACCATCTCTCCTTCCCGTTTCATGGTTATCCCCTCCTCACGGGCACATAGGCACATGTGTGGCCTAAGGTGAAGATGTCACATGGCAGGAAATGCAAAGCCATCCCTGGCCAGGCCAACCCCTGTGCTCACCTCCTTGTGCCCCCACCCCCTCCAGAGAAAGGAGGATACCCTAATCGTGACTGGAAGTCTCCCTATTCAACTTGCCAAACAGACTAAGCTCCAAAAGGGCAGAAACCTTGCTTTTTCCTTTCCCTGCTTGACTTATATGGCCTGGAACACAGCATGCATTCAGTGATCTTGTGAGAGAGTGAGAAAGGAAGAGAAAGGAGGCCCAGCACACCCTGAGAGGGTGAAATGTCATGCCGATGTCAAGCTCACATCTCTGGGGAGCTCACAGGCTAGAAAACGCTCCGAACATGGTCCAGCTTCTGAGTCTTATTCCCAGCAATGAGAACACTGGGCCAGGGTCATGGGTTGTGTCCCCTTCTGCATTCCCCAGCCCACAGGAATCCCAACCAGCCCCTGGGCCCCTGTGGCTCACCAGTCTCCTGCATCATCTGAGCAAGGTCCTCCACCAGCGCCACAGCCTCCTCACCATTCTCAGGGCACTGGGACTCCACCCAGACCGGAGTGTGAGGTGGCAACACACCCAGGAACTACTCCAGCATTAATAGGTCCAGCATCTGCTCCTTGGGGTGTGCTTCGGGCCGCAGCCACTGGCGGCACAGTTCCTGTAGCCTGGCTAGGGCCTCTTGGGGCCCTGCTGTCTCTTCATAGTGGAAGCTGCAGAGGTGCTGCTGGGGGTCCCTACAGAGTCTGGGCAGCAGGGTTGAGGGCTGAGGACTGGAGAGGGGTTCAGGATCCCATGGGGTAGCCTCATCTTCCTCCATCTTGATGATCACGAGCTCTTCCTGATTGAGGGGTGCTGGGTCAGCTGCCATGGCAAGACCTTGGGAAGTTGGCCTCCCTTGCACTCACTCAGGCCACACACTGTCTTCCTGGGACAAATGCCCATCCAGTCAGGGCCACTGATCATGCATGCCCCTCCAGTCACCCACACCCTCAAGGCCACCTGCTGCTGGGGAAACTGTCCCCAAGTCTGGCCAGCTGGCAACCTGGTAGGGGATACCTCCAGCCTCAACCTCCCCATCTGTGCCCTCAAGAGAACACCTGGCACTGGGAATCTGGTTAAGAGAACAGTGAACCCACCCCTGCAGAACTTTACAATAGCTCATGCCAGACTGGGTAAAGGTAGGAGAGTTGTTCCTGAGGATAGAGGGCACAGACATGCCGTGTTTCAGTGAACTGAGAGAGCCCCACCAGCAGTCGAGCAGGAGTGCAGGCGGGAACTAGCAGAGGGTCAGTGCCCAGGGAGGGTATGAGCAAGTGAAGGGTGCAATCAGCCAGGCACCAGGAAGAGTGATGTGGGGGACGGACTGGAAGGGCAGGATGGAAGCTAGGGACAGCATGGGCCAGGCGCAGGGAGAGCGATAGCTGACTCACACTGGAAGGCCTTCCTTCCCCCACGGCAGACTCCTACGGAGCCTGAAAGGCTCAGCTCACACCAATTAGCCAAGATCAAACAATGACAAGGAACAATGTTAAACAAGAAGGTAATCTGTGGCCCTCCTCACGTAACATGATCCCACTAACGTTAACATTTTAAAACAAACCTCTGCGGTGTATGTGTGTGAGCGCACGCAGGAGCTACCGTTATAAATGTTCGGAAACAGGTCCTGAAAAACAAACTCCCAGTGGGCGAAATCTGGGGGAAATAACTGGAGGAGGACATCCGCTTTTTCTTTTCTCAATCTCTACATGCTGCTTTTTTTTTTTTTTTTTTTTTTTTTTGGCAACGGCTATCTGTCACCATTGCAACTTTAAAAGAGAATAAAGGCCGTTTTCACTGCCAGCGCATGTTTCTAAAAGGGTTGGTCAGGGTTCCCCAGGCCGGGACAGCTCCATGCCCCACACACACCCAACCACCAGGCTCCTGACGGCCAGGCGCCCTGAGGAGGTGATGGCTACGGGAGAGAACATTCTGGGCCGCGGGATCAGCTCAGGCCAGAGCCACGTGGCCAGGGCAACCCTGCAGAGGCTTCGCCACCTAAGGGTCTGGACTCTCACACCCGAGGGCGCAGAGCGCCCTCTACGGACGGACGCACGTGGAGTGGGCGCAAAGAGGGAACGCAAGCGTGGGTGGCGGAAACCCAGAGACGCCCCAGAGGCAGTGAGAACAGTCTCGAAGGAGCTGGGTGGGTCTGCATCTGAAAGGGAACCGCTGGAGGGAAGCCCAGGAAACTGGGCTCAGGAGGGTAACAGAGCCCATCCGCGGGCGGAACCCGGCGCAGCGGTGAGAGCCGAACTCAGCCCAGAACCACTTCCGGGTCAGGACGCGCCCGCGCAAGCCTGGGTATCCCAGAGGCCCTCCCGAGGCGCCCTTCCTCCGGGACGAACGGGGCTCCCAGGGAAACGGGCGATGCTTCTCTGCGCCAAGTCCCCTGCCGCCCTCCGCCGGGCTGCACACCCTACCCCAGGCCTTTCCGACGCTTCCGGCTGCACTGCGCCCGCCTCACCACCCCCGAGAGCCCCACGGCCCGGCTCCACCGCGCAGGGACAGCGAGCAACCACCCTGGCGAGGAGAACGGGGAGCTTCCGGCGCCTGTGCCCTTGCCCTCGCGCGCGACCTCCCACGCAAACACCGCGGGAGGGGCGGGGGGCAGGAGTCGGTCGCTTCTGCGTCGAAGACCGGCTCTGTTGGTGAGTTTCTCCGGCGAATGCAGTCCCCAGCCGTCGGAGAACCAGCCTGCGGAGCTGCAGGAGACACCGGGCTTCCCCGACCCACCACCAGGGCCCCCCTAAAACGCTCAGGGGCCTGGGAAAGCTTGCCGGCTGAACGAATGCAGGGCTCCCCGCTGCGCGCTTGCTGATGGCCGGGCGCCTGAAGAAACAAGCCCTGGAGCCAGACGGGCCGCCACAATGCCTGCGTGGCCTAACTACTCCTTCCACCCCGTCAGATTGGGCCTCATGGACTCCCACCCGGTCACCCGCCTCCTCCGCGGGCGTGTACGGCACTCAGCCTCCCCCGAGGGTACCCCTTCCTCCCGGGCCTCAGGCCTTCGCCAACCACCCCACCACGCTGGGCTGCCTCTGCCAAAGCCCTGTGCACCGCGTGGCGTTTTGAAACGAGGGGTTTCCTGACTGCCGGCAAGGTCCCTGAAGTCTGAGACACCACTTCCCCAGAAAGCCTATCACGCCTGGTCCTCTGTGCCCGGCTAGGTGGGGGGGGTCCTCCCGAGTCGCCGGGCATAGCCTCGTCACCGAGAACGGAACCCCCTCTGGACTGGCAGCTCCTGGTCTCCTCAACAGCGGGCTCACAAACTGGGCGATCAATCCGGTCTGTCACCAGAACCCTAGGAAAAGCTTCCCTTCTCTGTCATCCCTCTTACCATTCTCCCCAGGAAAGCAAGCACGGGGCCTCACCTGACCTTTCTTCCAGCAAGGCTGGCCCTTCAAGTCCCTCCCTGGACCCCGGCCCCTGTGATATGTTGACAGCAAGCCCATCAATGCAGACGGAAGTAGCCGGCATCCTTCCTCCCACCTTTATTTCTTGGCGTGCGTGTCTGTTTGTGTGCGCGCACCTGTGTCGAAAGGAGTCCACAAGCCCAGACATCCCTGTCCCACCACCTGTGGCTCCTCCAGCTGGAGCACAAGAACACCTTCCCTTGCTGGCTGGCTGTGTTTTGGTGACCCAAGTGGTGTTTCTGCAGTCAGGTGGACACCCCATGATGCCTGTTGTTACAGTTCGGGGGACAGGAAAACAAACTGGAATTAGGGGAGATGATGAGACTGGGGGGTGGGGGTGTCCATCAGAATCAGAGCTTTGGGTCTAACTCAGGGAGAGGCTGGGCTGTAGCCAGTGCACTGGGAGTTAACCCTGAGGTGATCCCAGCTCTTAGCAGCAGATGGTATTTTCCAAAGAGCAGCAGAACTGGGAGACCACCACAGTCACAAAAGCCTCAACCTCAAAGGCTGGAGGGAAGCCATGCCCACGGCACAGAAACTCAGGGAAGAAAACATCTCCAGACGAAGGAAGTGAACCCTGGTATCAAAATCCACAGTGAATCAAAGTGCTCAGGCACAGGGTAGGTACCAGAGACCCGGGTCAACAGAGGCCATGGAAGCCAGAAGAGGGGAGGATGGCATGGAAAGTGACAAAGGACATGCCGAGAGCAGGAAGCCCTCATCTAAAGTTGGCAAGGCACGGAGTAAGAGGTCAGGTTTGGAAAACGGGAGAGGTGGGTCTCAGTTCTGGCCCCTCACCACAAGAAAAGCTGCCCTGGCAGGCTGTGCTGGGCGACTACCATACTACAGGTTGTGTCCCTGTCATGGGTGGGCACTCCTGGGCCCTGCAGCTCATCTGCCAGTCAGAGAACACTACCCTTCTGTTCCCCAAGCCTGAGCTGTGTGTCACTATACAAAGACCAGAGAGCATGAGATATGCGAACCCTGGGGGAGAAGTAGCAGTATCTGACCTCCAGAAACAAAACATCATTAGAGAGAGATCACGTGAGGTCAAGCCCAAGCCCCAGATCATACAGGACAGCCAGAGGTCTGACCTTCATGACCAGTGCCCTTAGCCACATCCCCACCCTCTATGGGCCCCACTTGGGGCAAGGGCAGGTTTCCTGCCAAATCCCTTGTTGCCACTGCCGTGGGGCCCCCTAAGGATGCGACTGCCCGGGCCTGTCGCCTCCTTTCCCGGTGCAGCTCCCGGAGGCGGGCAAGGGCACAGTGGACACCCCGGGACACCCGGAGGCTGCGTTCCCGGTTTGGATCATTCTCCATGAGGACCCGTAAACCAGCAGCAAAGTGAGACAGGGCCTGGGCCAGGTGCTCGGTGCTCAGAGCACCCACATCAGCTTCCTCGGTCCCCGCACCCACCACAGCCTCTATGAAATCTGGCTCTGGTTTTCTGGAGACTGAGCCTTTCCCTGCCTCCCAGGGCAACCCAGAGCTGCTGATGTCCCCATCCTCTGCATCCTGGGGGCTGCCGTGGGGTGGGGGCTCCCCATGGGCCTGCAGGAGGCTGGCGACATCGGCCTCAGCTGCATCTCCAAGGCCCACATGGCTGGCTAGTGCAACAATGCTGCGACGGAGCTGAGGCACAGTGTCAGGCTCGGGGGTGCCAGGGGGGACACACTCGGGCCAGAGCTTCCTCCAGGCACCATTCATGGTGGCAGGCTGCAGCTCTGCCCAGGCTTCGGCTATATTGTCCACAGCAGTCACAACAGTGTAGCTGCGCCAGAACTCCCGCACAGAGGGCCGGTCTTCCCCAGCTGTCTCCTGGACCAGCTGGCTGAGCGTGCGGCGCAGGTAACAGGCCTTGAATGTGGCAATGACACCCTGGTTCATGGGCTGGATCAGGGCCGATGTGTTCTTGGGCAGGAACTCAACTCGCACATGGGCTGAGAGGCCACCCAGATGAGCAGGGTGGCAGGGCGCGCCATCCAAGAGCAACAGGGCACGGTGTGGGAGGCCGTGGCTGGCACAGTAGCTCTCCACGGCAGGGCAGAAGCAGCCAGTAAACCACTCCTGGAAGATGCTGGGTGTCAGCCAGTCGTTGCGGTTAGAGCGCCAGACCACAGGAAGGCTGGCCTTGGAGCAGCCCTTGAGGGCACGCGGGTTCTCTGAAGGGTACACCAGCAGGGGCTTCAGTTTGAAATCACCAGCTGCATTGCCACCAAGCAGCAGAGTCAGGTGGTCCTTGGAGGCCTTGAGGCCAGGCCCAGCTGCCCCTTCCATTGCCAGCAGCATGCGCTCCGGGAGCCGCTTCCAGAACAGGCCCGTCTCATCCACATTGAAGACCTGGCGTGGTGAGTAGCAGCCCTCCTCCAGAATGGTGCGCAGCACTGGGGGGTAGTGGGCAGCAGCCTGGGTGTCAGCCACCGATGGCTCATCTGTCAAAAGCACATTGTGGCGAGCCTTGAATCGGGCAAACCAGCCATTACTGGCCCCAAAGGTCTCAGCCTGAGTGCCATTACCCTGCTCATGCTGCAGCTGCACAAAGAGCCGTCGTGCCTTGTCCTGGATGAGCAGTGTGCTGATGGGCAGGTTCTGCCGCTTTTGCTCCTCAATCCACAGGCTCAGCAAGCGTTCCATATGGCCCATCACCACACCCCGGCAGCGGGTCAGCTGTGTGGCGCTGACAGGGGTGGCTGCCTGAGAATTGGCCCGGATCTTGTCCTTGTTGACACGGATCGAAGCGACGGTAGAGGTGGCCAGCCCCAGGGCCCGGGCAATCTGAGTCAGCTTCTCACCTTCCTCAAACCTCCGGAGCACCTCTAACTTCACATGCAGGGTGATGGACTTTCGGTCCCGCTTGGCACTGTGGCGGAGGCCAATCCCACCAAGGGGTGCCTTCCCCGACACTTGCAGCCGAGGAGTTGTCTTCATTCCGCCTCCCTGAGCCATGCACCTTGATGAGGTCTCTCCCCAGGGCCTATCCACAGTAGCTACCAATGTGCCCACAATGGCAGCCTCTTGGCCTCTCCTGCCATACCTGCCTCTGCCTGTAAGACAAGGACACACGGGCATTAACGTGTAAGTACATGGAAGTCCCGACCACCAGCTGGCCTTCCCGTGCTCTGACACAGGGCACCCAGCCCTGCTGACCTCTGCCTCAGAGGCATGCCCAGCCCCTTCTTTCCCTACTCCTAAAAACACTGCACATGCACTTCCAAGCATTCCTTGCATTTAGAGGAGTATGTCACTTAGTTTCACTGAGATCAAGACAAGTCTGCTAGGAGACTTTGCTCTCTTCCCCAAGCAAACCTCTTGCAACCACGAGACAGTCTAGAAACCCACCTCCCACACACTGATGAGCAAATGAGCTACCCATTTCCATGCTTCCCACCCAAAGATATCAAACATCAGTGTGAGTTGCTCCTAAAGACAATCACATCCTAATCCCTATGAATAAATTACCTTATATGGCAAAAGGGACACTGTAGGTGTGATTAAGTTAATAATCTTGAGATAGGGAAATTATCCTGGCTTATTTAAATGGGCCCTAAATGTAATCTGAGGGGTCCTTGCAAGGGGAGGCAAAAGATTTCACTCAGAAGGTGGCGATGTGACCACTAAAGCCTAAGGCCTCCAGAAGGAACCAGCCCAGCTGATACCTTGATTTTAGCCCACTGAGACCCATCTCAGATTTCTGACCTCCAAGATTGCAAGATAATACATTTGTGTTATTTTAAACCACTCATTTTTCAGTAATACGTTATAGCAGTCATAGGAAACTAACGCAGGAGGAAACCAACCTAACTCGTGCCACCCCGCAGAGCACCTGGGAATAGAGGAGGAAGGTGGTTCTCCACTCGACAGCCACAAAGATTCAGTAAGCACTAAGATCCTGTTGCCCCCCTCTCTGCTCAGAGGTCTCCCAGCTCTGAGTAAAAGCCACCATCCTCACCAGGTTCATCAAGCACTTCAAAGCCTCCTCCTTTACTTTGCTCACTCCTGCCCACATCCTTGGTGCTCCTGTTTCCTTCAGCCCAGGGCCCAGGCTCTTCCCTGTTACCTGCGTGGCTCACTCCCTCTCCTACAGATCTCTGCTCAAATGTAACCTAATCAAAAAGGCCCTCCCCACCTACGTTTTATCATACATCTGTCACATGCTGCCTGAGGGCAGGAGCTGAGTCCGCTGAGCTCTCTCTTGTGTCCCCAGCCCCGGGAATAGTGCATCCAGCTTGCTGATGGAATTATTAAATGAAGTACAGCGGTGGGAGGCAGGTTTCTCACCTCGTCCCTATCGCATTACGAACCATGTGAAAGTAGCACCTGATCAAACAGTTAAAAAAAAAAAAAAATTGACGGAGTGCCTGTGAAAGCATGGACAAATGAGTGGAGGTCCGTCTTTGCAGCGGCTATGGCACCTATCGGTATCGCATCAGTACCTTCAAGGATTCATGGGCTGCACATGCTTGAAACAAGGTGGCACAGGAACCTCGAGCCTGGAGGCAGGGGAAGGTGGGTGGGCGTGGGAAGGGCTCCTCTTGCCTGGAAGCCGTCCCCGAATTCTGAACCCCTCACGCGCCATTGTTCTTTCTTCAACATTCACGCCTTCCTCTGCTCACCCACAATTTGAAACGAATTCCCCCATGCGTTCACTCACTCATTCGCTCCCTCCCTCCCACTCTCGTGAGAAAGTCTCCGAGCGCGCCGCCGGGGAGGCTCACCGCCCAGCGTCTGGGTGGGAGACAGGGCTCGTCCCCGTGAGACTACAATTCCCAGACAGCCGGGGGGCCGCCGGCAGCCCCGATTGGCTCACCCGCGCTCGTCCCGGGCTGAGCGCGCAGCGGCCTCTGTCCGTCCCCTTCCCGAGAAACGGCGCCCCAGCCCCAGCCACCGGAGCCCGGGCCCCCGCGCGGCCGCCCGTCCTCACCTCCGGGCCGCGACGCGGGCCGGCTGCTTCAGCTCTTCCCCATCTCCTGCCTTAGAGCGCCCCTTTCCGGAGGCGGCCGAGCTCAGCCTCCATATTCCCGGCGGGGGCGGAAGATTGCCGGCGACTGCCGAGATTGGCGGAGTCCGCGTGGGGCCCGCCCCCGACGGCGCTCTGAACCCTGCGCCGGGCCCTCCCAGGGCCGCCGGGAAATGTAGTTTGGCGTCGAGGACGCTGCGCATAGAGGCCAGCCGGGGGCGCTGGAGGCTGCCTCTGCCCAAAGCTGGCTTTCTGCTTCCTTTCTCTCGAATCTTCCCCGCGCCGACTTTCTGTCTGTGTCACTTCATCCTCCCTACCTCCTTCCATTTCTGGCTCTGTTTTCTCTTTTTCTTGGTTTGTCCCCCATCCTGGAGAATTCCGCTGAGACTGTCAAGTGTTTTTTTAAACGTTAAAAATAAACTCAGTGAGGGGCACCTGGGTGGCTCAGTCGTCGGGCGCCTGCCTTCAGCTTCGGTCATGAGCCCAGGGTCCTGGGATGGAGCCCCGCATCGGGCTCCCTGCTCGGCGGGAAGCCTGCTTCTCCCTCTCCCACTCCCCCTGCTTGTGTTCCCTCTTGCTGTCTCTCTCTCTCTGTCAAATAAACTCTTTAAAAAAGAAATAAATAAACTCAATGAGTGCGTGTCAAGGAGCTATTTACGTCATGGAGGGAACTAGCAGGGTGACATAGGTAGTTCCAGGAAGATGAGGGAGAAGGAACAGAAAGGGTGAAAGAAATGAGGAATACTCAAATAAAAGCCCAAAGTCGAATGAGTGCCCTACAGGACAGCGGGTCCGGGTGTCTCAGTTCCTGCTCAGTGTCCTGGGGGTGATACAACTCTAACCCCAAGCATTTGCAGCCTGGATTCGGACCGAAAGGTAGTTCCGAGACTACTTGGTACACAATGCTAGGAAATGCAGAGAGAGCCCCCAACCATTTTTTTCTTTTTTTGGTCCTATTGTCAAATTTTGGATACGTTTTCCTAACAAGTCTACCTCCAACTGTCTCTCTTCTTGCTGTCGCCCTTCTCTAGGAATGTGAACACTCTCCCTCCACCCATCTTTGCTGTTTCTCAAAACCCTGTCCCTCTCTCTGCCCCTGCTTGTCTGGATCTTGTCTCTGTGAAGCGCTTCTTCCTCTCCCTCTGGCTCTCCTTTCACACCCAACCCTTCCTGATCTCCTTCCCCTCGCTGACTTCTCCGACACTCCTGTCTACCCGGGCCTGCCTCTCTGCGCCTCTGGCTTCTCATCACATTCTCTGGGTCTCTGAGAGTGGGAATGCCTCCCTGATGACTTTCTTTCCTGTCGGTGTCTCGGTCTCTGGATCCGTCCTCTTCCGCTCGCGGTCTCTCCTCGAGGCTCTCTGCCCCTGAGCGGGCTCACAGGCGCTGGGCCTCTCCCCACCGTCCTCACTGTCTCACTCGGCGGCTCCCCAAGCCCTACCCCACCCTCCCCATCGCCTCTCGGACGCCCACCAGGTCGCCAGCGTTGCGCCGGAGACCGGCGGGTCGGCCCCACAGGTCACCATGGAGACTCCCAGGCCCGCCTACCGCTCACGAACACAAAGGAACGTCGCGCGGCGCTGGCGCCCACGGAGGGCCCAGCCGACTACACTTCCCAGAAAGCACTGGGCCGAGCCTCGTTGCAATCTGCAGTCCGGGCGGGCGGTGGAGGAGGCGCCCCCTGTTTCTGCAAAAAGGTTGCCGTGGAGACGCGGGCCGACAGCGTCCTAGCGAGAGCGGTGATTGGTGCAGAACCCTGCTAATCCCTGGAAGGCCCGTCAAGAACTGAGGCAAACGTGGTGGGGGGCATGCGCGGTTGGGAAGGCGGTGCTGCGATCCGTGGCCCCCTGAGAGGCTTGCGCACGTCGACGGGGCATGGACGCCTGGATCTGAGGCGGGGAGCGCGGGAAGAGGCGGCCGGGCGTGTGATCTGATCGTTGCGAACAACGCTACCCCGGGGAACGGGAGGAGGGTGGAAAAGGAGGCGAGGGTGGGGGAAGGGCAAGGAGGCACTCGGGCTGATGCGTGGAGCATTCTGGGAGACATAGTCCGGCCGGGGAGGGGGAAGTCGGCGAGTGCGCATGCGTAGGAGCGCGGAGCGGCCGGCAGAGCGTGGAGGTGAGGGCGGGGGCCTCTCAACGAGGAAGGCTTGGGCGGGGACCGGGGCGGCGGCCGCGGACTCTTGGATTCCCGCTACCCGGCGGGACCCGCAACGCGGGGCAGGGACCTAGCACCCCTTGTCGGCGAGCCGGGCGCTGGCGCGCGATGCTCTTCAATCACTGTGCATTGCCACAGCGGCAAGGTCTAGGAGCCCCGCCCCCCGGTTGCCATGGCGGCACTAAACCCGCCGGGGGAGGGGGGGGAGGGAGGGTCTCTTGAAAGTGGAAGATGCTCTTCAAGATTTCTGGTAAATGTAGTTCAGGAAGCTTCGCAGTGGCTGGCTGGCTTAAAAATGGTCCAACTTTCTCCCGGGGTTGCAGGTTGGCCTGGAACCTTGAGGAACGGAAGTTTGACCCACGGGATCCGGCGGCCCTGGAAATCGAATCTACTCACTTAATAAACTCAGATTTCTTCACAAAGCCCGCACATTATTCCCAGCTGCAAAGGGAGCAGCAATGGCGGGGGAAGGGGGGCATCCCCACTTACGGGGGACGGTAAAGATGGGGAAACTGAGGTTCCCAGAAACTCGCCAGGGTTACGTAGCAAATAGGCAAGATCAGAATCTCCGACCTTGCCTGCAGGCACCTGGTCCAGTTGTCTTGGGGCCTTCGTGGGCCCCCTGGAAGCTCCCATCACCTCCTAATCCTGCCTAAATCAGGAAGGTGAAGAGATGGTGGGGCATTACATGGTGTGCTAAGTTGGGCCGGTTCAGAGGATGGGGCTGAATGGGGGGGGAGCGGGGGGTGCTGCCTGGAGGCGTGGCCACAGAGTTGACCTTGCCCATCTGTGGGGGTGGGGAGCAGGTGGAGGGAGGCTGCCCTGTGGAACGAAGCTGAGAGACTAGATGGGAGAGTGGGTGGTGCAATGATGGGCTGGTGTTCGGGGCGGGGGGGGAGAGGACCTGTAGTGGTGCTTATGCCTACGTGGTAAATACTGCAAATGTCATTTACCTGGGAGTGGGAGAGCTGCCGGACAGGGGTGGGGTGGTGCACGTAGAAGGGCAGGATTTAAGGGAGGCGTGCCTTCTATGCCTAAGAAGCACCCTGTTTGGAACAGGGGAATGCCAGAGACTGTGTGTAGGTCCCAGCTAGAGAGCAGAGACACAGGTGCCTGGGATGTGACCACCACTCTGTGCCTCAGTTTTCTTATCTGCCTTCTGCTCGGTGCAGGTCTGAAGATGGAACAACGAAGCGTACAGTAGACGCTCAAATAAGCATTTGCTGCCACTGTTTGTCCTCGCAGCAGCCTCACCCCATTCCTCTCCTAGGGGAAGACATTATCCTCGGAGCCCCCGCCCAGTCTTTCCAATGAGGCCCGCAGCACTAGGCTCCCCAGGTCACACGTCCCTGGACGATGAGGGACCTGTCATGGTGAAGCTGGAGGACTCTGAGGAGGAGGGTGAGGCCGCCCCGTGGGATCCCGGCCCAGAGGCTGCACGCCAGCGTTTTCGGCACTTCCACTATGCGGAAGAAGAGGGTCCCCGTGAGGCCCTGGCCCGGCTCCGGGAGCTGTGCCGCCAGTGGCTGCGGCCCGAGGCGCACTCCAAGGAGCAGATGCTGGAGCTGCTGGTGCTGGAGCAGTTCCTGTGCGCGCTGCCCCCCGAGATCCAGGCCCGTGTGGAGGGACAGCGGCCAGGCAGCCCTGAGGAGGCCGCTGCCCTGGTCGAGGGGCTGCGCCAGGAGCCAGGAGGCCCCCGCAGATGGGTGAGTCAGTGGCCCTGAGCGAGGATCCAGGCTGGAACAGTATCCAGCTCTGCCTCACCCTGGGGAGCACCATGCTCAACCAGACACCTGTTCCTTGTGGTTTGGAAGTGGTCACTTGAAGCAGACCTTGTGTGAGAGTAGCCAAGCTTCCAGGGCCAGCCTCACTGGCCCATCCCTGCATCACCTGGAGTCATGGACGCGGGAAGGGCTGCAGGGTGGAGAGAGAGGGAGACCACTGGGCATTCGTGGTTGTAAGCAGCAAGAGAGCAACTGCAGGCGGTCCCTTCACTCCTGACTCAGTGCTGGGGGGATGTGGGTCCTTGGAGAACCTCGTGGGTCAGGACCTGGGGTCCTGTGATGGGGAAGATGCCCATGAACCCCCTGCTTGTGCCCAGCCAAACTCTCTGCATGGGTCCCTGATGGTGGGGGGCGCCTCCCCAGGTCACAGTCCAAGTGCAGGGTCAGGAGGTGCTATCAGAGAAGATGGAGCCCTCCAACTTCCAGCCCCTCCTTCAAACCAAGCCTCAGACTCCAGAATGTGGGCCTAGGACACCATCTGAAGCCACACAAGAGTCACCACTGGGCCTTTGGGTGAAAGAGGAGCCCACGGTTACAGAGGACCCAGGTGAGGGCGGCCAACGCATGCATGGCCCAAAGCCTGATTGGGTAGACCAGAGGAGTCTGGCCTCAACAGCCTGAAGGTCACCTGCTGGATGGAAATATTCATGTGCACTGGTGCCCCCCACCCCTGCACTCCATCTTGCCTAGCCGGTGACCATCACTGCCCCTCACATGCCAAGTCTGACTGTCACAGCTGTTTCTGTGCTCTCCCCCAGCATGGCGTAGGCTGTTGGGGTCTCGAGGTGGGGGGCATGTGAGGAGATCCACTGAGAGACAATAGCTGGTCTCTGGGGAGCAGGCAGCAGGCTTGAATATGGGTGGGTGTGGCTGAAGGAGGACCCCAGGGTGCTGGGAGGCATGCCCCTCCCTGTTTTACTCCTTCCAGGCAGGTGCCAGCACTGGCCACCCACACTCTGCATCATTCCTATGTGGACCCTGGTGCAGTGCTCCTCTCCACCCTCACTGGCCTTCCTGTCCAGGGCTCATGCAGGGGTGCAGGGCACGGACCTGAGTCTGTCTCATCCTGCTATAGCTCCTCCTATGGCCTTCCAGGGGGTTCTGCCTTACTCCAGCCCCAAGGGTGGATTCCAGCATCTGGCATATCACTGAGGAGGGTAATGGGGTGGGGACACTCTTGGGCCACCTGACCCCAACCTTCCTCTACAGAGCTTCTGGATTCTGGGCCTGTAGCCAACCCCCAAGAAGCCACTTCCACTCTCCTGCCTGAAGAGGCCCAGGTGAGCCCTGTACAGGCCATCCTCCCTGTCTGGGGAGCCTCAGTGGGTGGGGGTCAGGTAGGTCCCTCTCTGAGCCTAGCTGGGCATAGACGAGCAGCGACCACTGTGGTTTCAGGGCTGTGAGACAGTGCTGGACCAGGCCTCTCCCCACAGCGAGACTGGGCTTGAGGGGCCTTCATGGAGGGAGCATCCTGGGGCCCTGTGGCAGGAGGAAGCTGGGGGCATCTTCCCTCCAGGTGAGTGAGACCAGGCATGGTGGGGCTGGGCCCTCTGCATGGGCAGCACCACATTCACCTCTCCCACCCCTAGCCCTGCCCTCTCACTCCAGCATCTCCAAGCTCCTCCATTCTGTGGACTGTTTCTTGCAGCATGTAACCTTCTGTGCTCTCCCCTGGCATGGAGTAGGCTGCTGGGGTTTCCCTCAAGCCCTCTGCTGACTTCAGGCTCCCTCCAGGTGCTGCTCCCCACCACAGTAAAACCTGAGAGCAGAGCCTGTATTCCCCAGACCCCCATCCTCTCCCAGCCCTAGCATCCTGGAAGGTGCATAGATTCTGGATTTGCCCTACTGACTGGGTAGCAGGGGAGGGAGGGTCTGGATCTGGCAAGGACCCCAAGTTAGCAGACAGTGAGTGGGTGGGCAGGAGGGACCTGGATCAGACAGGACAGAGGAGGAAGCCAGTGGTCCCCTGCTGTCCACCTCAGCTATACTGCTCTCAGTCTGCCATCATCTAGTGTCTCTGCCCCTTCTTCCTTGTTCCCTGGACCCTTCCTCTTTCTTGGTTTACTCCCTTGCTCTGGTGGACCTTCCTGGGAACTCTGGTATGTGAGATAAAAAGTTCTGAGAGGCTACATCTCTAAAACACACTCACCTAACATTCTATATGAGGCTACTTGGGCTACATGAAGAATTCTTGTTACTAATTAAGTTTCAGAGTTTTTTCATCATCATTGTTGGTAAGTCCTTTCAGTTTGAAATTCATACCTCTCAATTTTGGGAAACTGGCTTGAATTGTTTCTCTGAATTCCCTTTCCTTGCCTTGTTTCGTTCCCTTGTTTCTGGAATGTGTATCACTTGGCTGTTGGCTATATTGCTTCCTCAGGATGGTCTCTTACCCTCAACCCAGCCTTTTGCCAGGATGGGGAGAAGAGATCCAGGAATCAGAGATACAGCAGTGCCCACTATTTGCTCAGAGTTCTGTGCCCAGGGTTGGTCTATGCAGTAGTTCTGAACTACTGCATAGTGTGCTTGGTGGCCCTGCCCCTTCACCTCCATGGCCAGAGCTACCTGGTACCTCTAACTCCCAAACTTTTCGAGTCTTCTTTGAGGTCAAACAGAGTGATTCGTTTTTTTTTTTTTTTTCCATTTTCCTCACTGCTGGCTTAGTATTCACTTTCTACAATCTGCTACACAGTTACTCTTTGCCCCTCAGCTTTCCAGAGTAGAAAATGTTAGGGGTTTGTTTGTTTCCTTTCCTCTTCTTTAACCTTTGTGGATTTTATGCCCCAAGAAACAAAAACTTTGTTGTCGTTTTTACTGTTGTTTCAGAATGGAACTTAAATAGATACCATTATTGGCCAGAAGTCCCTATTCGCTATGTTTTTTGTCAATAAGGATTCTAAGTCTTTCTTTTTTCATAATGTCCTTGTTTCATGGATGCCCATCCGTCCTTTGAGGATTTGGACATACTTCACTGTCCTTTCCAAACTGGTTAGCTAGTTTGGTTTCTTCAGGTGTGAATTCTCCCAACTGGTTGCACTGTTGACAGTCTGCCCTTCATAGCTGGAGCTTCCTGTTTATCCCCACGTGGGACAAGCATCCTGGTGGGTGAGAGGCTGCCACAGGACCCATCATAACCCTGAAGTGGAAGGATCATCTGGGCCCCAGGATGTTCAGTGAAGGTACTTCTGGAACCCAGCCAAAAGCAAGCAGCTTATTCCTGGCCAGGTCTGTGGGTGGACTGCACTAACCTAGCCCGTGTCCTCAACCCTGAGCTTCATGACAGAGCCTGGCTTTAATCCCCAGGTCTAAAGCCCCAGGGGCTTTAGAGCTCACTGCACAGGCTCTGGATTCCTGAACCTCACCAGCTGTCCTTTCTTCCTTTGGAGTTGCCCAAAATATTTTTAAGTTTTTTCTCAGGTTCTGTTGTCATTTCTGCATGTTGGAGTTGAGGGAGTTGGCTCTGGCACATCCCCCATCCGCTGTTTTAGTCTTCAGCTGGCTGGCCAGGCTCGGCCTTGTGCTTTGTGACCGACCACTGCCTCCAACTTGGACCTGCTTCTCTCTCAGGTCACAACCCCACAGTCTTTCAGCTTTCTCCATCCACACTGGCGGCACCACCTCAGACTCCTTGGCGGGTTCCTTCTTTGCAACCCTGTTCTCTCTGTTGACAACCGCAGCCCCCAGCTTCAAACACTCATTCCGTTCAGTTACCTTGGTCTCTCCATTAAGGGTGCCTGGCTGCTCTCCTCATCCCTCAACCAACCATCTCTGCAGCCACTGTCTTCACCATAGTATTTTGAATAGCTAATGTATTCACATGTTAGAAAATTCAAAAGGCACGAGGGAGTGTACAGTAGAATGCCCCCTCCTGCCTGTGTTACACAGTCTTGTCCCCCAACAGCCAACATTACCATCTTCTTGTGTGTCCTTCCAAAAAGATTTTGTGCATAAAAAAAGAGCAAACACAAATTCAAATACATACCTTTTTCCCCTTTAAAACACAGGTGAAGGCCTAATCCCCATGTTTCACACCTGACATTTTTTGTGCATCTTCCCACTTCACGCAGCAACAAATACTCTTGTCTCTGGACAGCTGCATGGAGCCCCACTGGGGCTCACTGTGGAGACACTTGCCCATCCAGGCAGGCTCCTGCTGACATTCCTTTGGGTGGAGTTCCAGTGACGGACTGAGAAATCTCGTATATATAGGTCACTTTGGACAGCGGGGAACATAACTGTTGAAGTGCATAAAAGTGAAACTGCTGATCAAAGTGTGAGAAATTTGCCATTTTAATGTATTTTGCCCCACTGACTTCCCATTAAATGCTCACCAGCAAGGCATGCAAACACTTGAGTCCCTCTGGGGAGAGTATGAAAATGGTAGTCGAGTACAGCTCCAATTTGCAGTTTCTTATTAGGATCGAACTCAGCATATTTTATGGGATACAGCATTAGTTACATCCTTTGCCTGTGTTTGTCAGGTCACGGGTCTTGTTGATTAATTGGAGCTCTTTACTTAGAAGCTCAATTAGCCCTTTGCTTCTGGAAAATGTGTTTGTCATTCATTCTTTGGCTCCAAGGTTGTCTTTGCTGTGCACAAATGATCTCCTTTGGTGCAGTATAATTTATGACTTTTCTTTGACAACTTACAGACTTTCTGTCCCACTGAAGCCCTTGCTAGTCTCTTAGTCTTCCTGATTTAACTTCCTTCAACCTTTCTCTTTCTCTAGCCCCTGCTTCTCAGCCGCATTTGGTCACACCTCCCTTCTCACACAGCATCTAATGCTGGAGTGCCACAGCGTGGCTAGGACCTGCTCCTTCTTTCCATAGAGACCCACTCTTATTTGACCACACACAGGGCCAGGGCTCTGTGTGCCATGCATATGCCACAGCACCCATGTTCCCGTTTCCCTGCACACTGAGCCCCAGTTCCTGCACCCCACAGCCTGCATGCAGTCTCTCTCCCTCAAGACGCCCCACGGACATCTCAAGCAAGGCACGTCAGACCAAAGTCCTGCCGCCTACCCCCCTCCCATCCCCGTTTCTTTCCTGTTGGCTCCACTTCCAACCCGCCTCAGACCCACCCACTTCTGTGTATTTGTGGAAACCATCATCACTAGTGCAGGGCCACCTGCCCCATAGCTGCCCGACAGCCCTTCCAGGAAGGCGATTCTTGCAAACTGAAGCCAGGCCTGGAAAGCGTGTCCCCATCTTCTGAATCTCCCTCATGCTAGGCTCTGTCCCACCGTTGCCTCTGTAGGGAGGCCTGCACAGAAAGAATCCTTGCCCCTGCCCCCTCTGTAAGCCTCACTGGCTAGTTTCAGGTCCCTCTAGTTCACCCTGTTTACCGTGGGCTGGAGTGGGTCCAGGCACAGTTCTCTCGGTATGAATGAGGGATCCCCTTGTGCAATGCAGGGTTTGCGCTCCACATGGACAGCGTCTCTGCTGGCCCAGGCACTGTGAGCCCCCACCTCCACATCCCCTGGGACCTCGGCATGGCCGGCCTCACCGACCGACTCCAGTCACCCTCCCGTGAAAGTGGCTTCTCACATGCACTCGTGCTCCCCAGTGGCCCTGGAGGTGAGCAGAACCCCACGAACGAGGGTCCCCGCCAGCTCCTGGGCCCCATACTGGCCACCGCCCGCTGGCGCGCGCCCAGGGCCCAAGGCCGGGGCCGGGGCCGCCCCAGCACAGGCCCCGCGGTGGGGCGGGGTGGCCGCTGCGACGTGTGTGGGAAGGTGTTCAGCCAACGCAGCAACCTACTGAGGCACCAGAAAATACACACGGGAGAGCGGCCATTCATGTGCAGCGAGTGCGGCCGAAGCTTCAGCCGAAGCTCGCACCTCCTGCGCCATCAACTCACGCACACTGAGGAGCGGCCGTTTGTGTGCGGCGACTGTGGTCAGGGCTTCGTGCGCAGCGCGCGCCTGGAGGAGCACCGGCGAGTGCACACAGGCGAGCAGCCCTTCCACTGCGCTGAGTGCGGCCAGAGCTTCCGGCAGCGCTCCAACCTGCTGCAGCACCAGCGCATCCACGGCGACCCCCCGGGCCCTGGCGCCGGGCCCAGCGCGCCCCTCACGCCTCCCGGCGCACCGGAGCCCCCAGGCCCCTTCCCCTGCAGCGAGTGCCGCGAGAGCTTCCCGCGGCGAGCCGTGCTCCTGGAACACCAGGCAGTGCACACGGGTGACAAATCCTTTGGCTGCGTGGAGTGCGGCGAGCGTTTCGGCCGCCGCTCCGTGCTGCTGCAGCACCGGCGAGTACACAGCGGTGAGCGACCCTTCGCCTGTGCCGAGTGCGGCCAGAGCTTCCGGCAGCGCTCCAACCTCACACAGCACCGGCGCATCCACACAGGCGAGCGGCCCTTCGCCTGTGCTGAGTGCGGCAAGGCCTTCCGCCAGAGGCCCACGCTCACGCAGCACCTGCGCGTGCACACAGGCGAGAAGCCCTTCGCCTGCCCGGAGTGTGGCCAGCGCTTCAGCCAGCGCCTGAAGCTCACGCGCCACCAGCGGACGCACACCGGGGAGAAACCCTACCACTGCAGCGAGTGCGGCCTGGGCTTCACGCAAGTCTCGCGGCTCACCGAGCACCAGCGTATCCACACGGGTGAGCGGCCCTTTGCCTGCCCTGACTGCGGCCAGAGCTTCCGGCAGCACGCCAACCTCACACAGCACCGGCGCATCCACACAGGCGAGCGGCCCTACGCGTGCCCGGAGTGCGGCAAGGCCTTCCGCCAGAGGCCCACGCTCACGCAGCACCTGCGCACCCACCGGCGTGAGAAGCCGTTTGCCTGCCAGGATTGTGGCCGCCGCTTCCACCAGAGCACTAAGCTCATCCAGCACCAGCGCATCCACAGTGCGGAGTAACCAGCACTCACCGTACCCCCTTCTCTGCGCCTCGGCTTTTGGCCTTTTGTCGGGGGAGGGGAGCGTGTTCGCTCAGAACACTTACCTCACAGGGTGGTTGTGAGGCCTCTGATCAAGTTTGGGTACAGGCGGGCCCACCCAGGACGTGGCTCCCAGTAGGTGCTCAATAAACAGTAGACAGAGCATGGGTCTGGAAAGCTACCCACTCCGTGCCTCCCCACCTGCGCGGGTCCCTCTGCCCAGCTGCCCACCACTTCGGCAACTGTGCAGTCTCTGTGAGAGCCAAGGACTCCTAGCAGCACCCCCCGAGGTCTGTGGGTGCCGCCTGTTTGCCCATGATGCCTTCCACCCGCGTAGCTATGGGCTAAGCCAACTGCCAGGTGAGAACTGGCCCAGGTTTCCCCTGCCAGCCAAGATCGTCCAGCCCAGTAGAAGTAGCAGACTGGTGCCCAGCAGGCCAGAGCTGGGGATGTGTCTGTTAAAACTTTAAACCTAGGAAGCCATTTCTTAGGCATAAAAGCTAGGTTTTATCTGGAAATCTAGATTCACGCATGTTCACTACCAATGGGTGCTGAGGTTAGGTTCCCCTTAGGATAGTACCCCAACCAGTCCAGAAATCAAAGTCCCCTGGAGGCCCCAGGCCAGTTCCCTAGCCCTCTAGTGATCACTCCCATTCCGTGGGCCACAGCTGCCGCCAACCCTGGCCAGGTGTGCAGCCCCCAAGGGCTCCCCCACACTGGGTGGTGGTCTCTGAGGAATGTGTTCAGTGGCAAGTCCCAGGAAACACAGCTGTTAGCAGCTTCCAAATCAAACTACACAAGCTGCCAGTGCAGGTTCGGTGTCTACACCGGGCTGGCATCTCTGGAACCCTCTAGACTTTTCCCATGCCACTGCGTCTTGCCTTAGTGATCTTACCCTTCCATCCCGTTGTCCAGGCCCTTGGCCTAGCACCACCCCCCCACCTCCAACCGGTGGGTACCTTGGGGTGCCAAAAGCAGGATGAAAAGCAGCGCCAAAGAAAAGCTCTTCATGCATCAGGATCTGGCTTGGGACCTAAACCCCACTCTGGGCAGGGGTCAGCCTGCCCTCGGCCTGAGGGGTTCTAAACACAATCTTTTGAGGCTAATGTGTCCAAGCTTCTCCCAGGGATACAGCTGAACTTTGCTACAAAACTGGGGTCCTGAAATCGGGGAAAGAAGCCAGCCTCGGCCAGAAGCTTCCAATGGTCACCCCAGAGAAGGTGTGTTCCCTGCCTCTTTCCCTCCCCTACTCCCCCCCTCTCTCCCCCCCCCCCCACCCCGCCGGCCTACCCCCAGCCAGGACCAGGGCCACTCTGGTCAACAGCTCCCCTTGTGTAGGGGCACTGCCATGTGGCACAGTCAGGAGGTGGGGAGAGGTCCCCTGGGCCCTGTGCCAACACTTCCTGTCCTCTCCAACCACAAACGGAACTCTGAGGATCCTGACCTGGGATATACTAATCAGAGGGGAGGAAGGCAGTCACTGGGTCCCTAGGTGGAGGCAAGGAGTCCAATTAAGGAAGGCACACAAACACCGAGGTAGCTAGTGCTGTGAGGCTAAGTATTGCCAGAACTTCATAAATCCTGTAACACTGATTTTTTTCAAATCCTCTGTGAATTTTATAATCAGAAACAGAACAAGAAAGCTCACTCTCATGTTTTGATCATCTTGGTGTGTGAGGAACATGAAGAGAAATCTGCACACATATGACTACTTAAGAACTTGAAATTACACACAGGAAAAATTATAACACACATGAGAGGCATGAGACATCTGGCCGGGGCCCCATGCGCAAAGTCGTAAGTCCACGGACTCACCTGCTGAATCAGTCCTCTAAGAAAAAAACTTGAAGTGATATGAGAGCCCCCCACGAAGGGCCATTTCTGCAGTTGGCTGGGGACACCCCTGCAAGCCAGGCTGGGGTTTGTGAACCCAAGTGCTACCATACGAGCAGCAGGGCTGAGGACTTGGACAGAATGACCACTTGGCCTCCCTCAGCCAGAACCACTGGAGGAAGCCAGGAGAGGAACCCCTAAGGCACTGGTCATCTGGGGAAGCTACAATAGCGCGCAACCAGCCTGTCCCTGGATCATCCGTACCTGAGCCCATACTGTTTGCTCCCAAGTATGGCCTCCCGTGCCACATCCATCCAGTTATTCTTACCCCCAACCCCAAGCTACCCAAATCTGTCCATTTCTCTCCATCCCCCAGCACCGCTCCGATCCCATCCACAAATCTCTAGCCTGGAGGCCCACAGCACCCCACCTCCCTTCCCTGCCCGCTTTTGCCACTCCTTTCCAAAACAGACCCTAGCTTCTCAGTGACAGGTCCCAGAGGCTATGCTAATGCCCCAGGTGCACTTCCACCCTCACTCTTCACCTGTCATATGCTGCCCGATCCATCCAGGTGCCAGCCCCAGCTTCCCTCAGGACCTTTGATGTGCTGAGCCCTATGCTGCCTGCCAAGAGGATGCAGGCCCAAAGGGTACAAGCACCCTCACCACTCAACCACCTGTGCCCCTCTGCCATGAGAGTAACAAAACCCAGGTGCACCGCTTCCAACCCAAAACCCTGCCTCACCTCAGCCATCCCCTCCTCCCTGGCCCAGGCCCCGTGGCCCCCTTTTCCCAGCATTTTGTTGCATGGTTAAGTCTTCCCGGCGGACTGTCATGGAAAGCCATGAGATCAGAGACCGCGAGAATCTAGCTTTGGCTAGCGCAGCACCACTTCTCCAGGAAACCAACACCCTATCCTCAGATGGGCCTCCAGCTGATGAGCCTCCGAAACCGGCCTGAGGATGGGCACATGGTTCAGGCTGAGCAGTAGGCAACACCCCTGAGACTGGGGCTGGTCCCAGAATGGTCACCCCCCCTCGCCTGGCGATGGGCGTACAATAGATAGGAAGAGCAGAGTGGCTGAGAAAAAGAGAGAGGAAGAGGGAGATTGAATCTGGAGGGGCCATCTGAGCCCCATGACCAGCCACGTCGGAAGCCTAAGAACGCGGGGGCGGTTGCAGCGTCAGCCCCAAACTTGAGCTGCCTGAGGTTCCTGAGTCCGCGCCCTCATCCTGGCCCCTCTCCAGCACTCAGCTCTGGAACCGAGAAAGGGTGCCGGGATAACGGCACGACCAGAGGCACGGAAGGGGTCCTGGGACGGGGGTACTGAGAACGGCAGGGCCCAAAGCGGCCGCAGCTGGACAGACACGGCGGGGATCAGTCCGCGGAGCCCAGGGACGTCAATGGTGCCCGAAAACCCACAGCGCAGGGGCTCTAAGGAGGCTGGGTCAAGATCCGAAAAGGTGGAGGCGACGAGAGGGACCGAGATGGACACCAGCGCGGGTCTGGGAGGGCGTCAGGGCGACTGCCCCGAGGCGAGGACTGCGGGCCTGGGCCGGGGTCGACGGCCGAGGGCAGCCCGCGAGCGTCCCCGCCCAACCGGACCGCCAAACTCCTTCTTCCGCCATGCTCCAGGCGATGGGGCCGGTCGCCTCAGACGCGGAAGGGGCCGCGCAGCGGGGGCCGCACGCGGTCGCCGCAGGGCCGAGCGGCAGAGCGCCAGCCGCAGCCACCCACCCGGCCCCTGGCCGCGCAGCTCACCCGCCTGACGGTTTCCGTGGCGACCGCCGGAAGTCCCCGCGCCGCCCCGCGCCGCCGCCTCCCGCCCTCCGGGGCCCGCTGAGCTTGTGTGTCACTGGAGCGCAGGCTGGCCGCACACACGGCGGGAGGACCCTCCGGGAGGACCCCCGCCCCACGTCCCATCCAGGGCCCACCCATGTAAACTCCCAAAGTGCTTACCACTCTCTGGCACAGTACACCTTTTATTTGCTAGTTTACCTCGGCCAGAATCTCCGCGAGCGGGTTGCGTTTGCGATGGGGCACCGAGGGCGCTCGACCCCGCACTCTTTGGGCAAAGCCTATGGCCTCGCCCGGGCTCTGGCCCGCCGTGGTCACCCCGCCTCTGTGACCTCCAGGGGCGAGGACCTCGTGAGACCCACCCCCGCCGCGGTCTGCACAAGGGAACCTCCCGCGAAGTGACCTGCACCTGCCCTACTTAAAGATGGCGGCGGCACCGCCCACGCCTGGACCCGTGAGCGTCCCCGGAAATGACCGCGGGACGGCCTGCACGAACGGAAATACCCGAGCCCCGCCGAAAAAGTCCGAATAATCAAGACCTATCGCTGAGCAACGCTGGGCGGCGGCGGCGGCGGCGGCGGCGACAGCAGCAGCAGCAGCAGCAGCAGCAGCAGCAGCGGCGGCGGCGGCTGCGCAAGCGCACAGCGCAGACCGGGCGAGAAGAGCCGAAGTGGGCAAGCGGCGGAAATATCCGAAGCGGTGGGGCGCCCGAGGCCGTTGCGGACCTCCGCGCCGAAGCCGCTGCTGCCGCGGAAGCCGAGCCTCTTCTAGTACACGGCCGCCGCCACCGCGGCCGCCGCCTCCTCCTTCCCCTCGAGCCGCACCCCCTCGCGGTGGGAGCGAGTGAACAGACAGGCGGCGCGGCCGCAGCTGAGCCTGAGGGGACCTAAGCGGGCGAGGGGGAGGAGGGAGCGGCCGGGTGGGGGCGGGGCCGAGCGGACCCGAGAAGAGCCGAGTCGGCCCGAGCGCCGCCGAGCGAGCCCGAGGCGCCGGGCCAGGCCGGAGCCGGACTACGGGAGCCGACGCGGGCCGCGCGGTGGGCGCGGAGCGGCACGGCAGGCCGGGCGGGCGGCAGCAGCAGCGGAGGAGGCCGCGAAGGCGGGTTCGAGTGGCGGAGGCGGCGCGGGCGGCGGCAGGGGGCCGGGTGGCCGGGGTCCCGGGCCCCGCAGCGGCGGCAGCGGCGGCGGCGGCAGGATGATCAAGCTGTTCTCGCTGAAGCAGCAGAAGAAGGAGGAGGAGTCGGCGGGCGGCACCAAGGGCAGCAGCAAGAAGGCGTCGGCTGCGCAGCTGCGGATCCAGAAGGGTAGGGGGTCGGAGGAGGGGGGGGGGGTCGGAGGTCAGCGCTTGGGGTGGGGTGATGTAAGAGTCAGGAGTGGGATACTGCAGTCGCCGGGGGTCAGAGATGTCAGAGATGTGGGGTCGGAGGTTAGGGCCTGGGTGTTGGTGTGATGGGGCATCAGGAGAAATGCAGTCACCGGGGGGTCAGAGATGGGGGGCCGAGTATGGGGCACTTAGGGTACCCGGAAAGCCAGGCGTCTTGC